CAGTGCAAATCATATGCATTAGCGGCGTTGCATTAACCCACCGTGGCCATAACATATATATTGTTTCCATCAACGACCAGCGAAGAAAGTCATTATCGTCGGGCAAGAGGAAAAGAGGCAGCGTAGGTGTAATTGATTGATTACCTCCGTAAAGGAGAAAATTGGACAACACACCTGCGACTCGACTACCCGAGAAAACGCGCCTCGCAAAAGGCGTCGGTTCCATTAGCGAAATCTAGCGCGACGACTAATACAAAGACGTAGACTCGCGCTGACGCAAGATAGAGTCTTCTGCGCGCAGTGAAAGAGAAATTACGCGCGTCCGCGACGCGGCTGGTCTTGAGTGCCGCGGAATTTTCACGCTGATCGCACGCAATCGACGAGTTTGGCCGATTAATACGCTGCGGATGAATCGATGGTTATTGCTCTTGAAGAGCGATAACGCGCGGCTAACTGACCATGCGGAAGATGACGTGCTCAGGTGTACGGTTAAGAAGGACGACGCGTTGGAGGAAACGCTCCGAGAGAATCATGGTATTTGCAATCGACTATCGTTTTCTATAAAGTAGACCGATTTAATCTTGTGCGAGATTGACTTCGACTGCCGTCATTTGGAACAAGGCAACAAAAATACAAAACTCAAAGAGAAATTCTAAATATTTACTCGAGCTACTTAAGCTTGTTGTTTTTTTCTTTTCGAAAGCGATACACGAAGAAATCGGTTACGGAAGCGGAAAGTCAACCCATATGGATTACATACCAGCTCGTAAAAGCGTCTACTGCTACTTGTGAGAGACGCGCGGCGCTGCTCGCGCGACCCGGTTTCGCGCAACGATGTCCCGGCAATTAAGTCGTATCCGCGCTCTCTGCCCGAGGATGCGCCACGCTTTATGCTAATTAATTAACCGCTGCCCACTGATATTTATTACCTTGTAGTTACTTAGCGTAGATTTATTTTCTATTTCTCGAGTTTTCAAATTGAATGCCAAGTATTCACGGTTTGATGTGGAATCGGTTATTTCACAGCTCATTTTTTGTTCACGAAACAATGAGCGCTCGGCAACTTTTACGTTCGATTGTTAACACGTGGCACATTAGCACAGCCATCAAAGTAGAAATGTTACTAGAGACGTATCTTTCTATTTTTGTTTAACGGTCCGCTAAACGCTCTTCGTTAAAAGACTACACCTCGCTTCCACTGAGAACGCGGAACTCACCGGAGAAAAAAAAATAACAATCCTGCTCTGACTCTTCTGCAAAGAAGACAGCGAAGGAGGAAAACGGCAAGGACGTTGAAACTGTTCGCACGTATGACGCTACTGCAAAAGTTTACGTCACGTGCCACGAAGGGGCAATATGCACGCGAACGGGCCGTTACGTCAACTCGGCCGCGTTTCCCGCGGAGGAGAAAGTCCCGTGCCCGAGAAGAAAGAGTCTCCTCGCTGTGGATGTGAGACGGGAAAAGTTTTCGGGCCAATCGTTACAGAATCTACAATTCTCTCTTCGTGCGCTCTCTTCCAGTTGCGCGACGCTTGCAAACTGACGCGCGTTGGCTCGTATACGCTGGCTTCTCTGGCGGAAAACTAATAATCTAATCGAACAATATAATGGGACCTGGCGCCTGCGGCCAGTCCAAGGTTGCCATTTGGCGAAGTGACGCTTTTGTAAAGCTTCTTGGCATTGGATTGCATTGGATTCTCTCGTCGTAAGACGAAAAATTTCGGTCGGCGGAGCTCGAGCGCAAAAAGATGCTTGTGACGGACGGAACGGAGCGCCGAATGAAGATTGCGCGCACGCCCCGTCTAATTAATGAAGATTCCCTAATGGCAGCGTGTAATTGGACAAGAGCGGCCTGTTTTCGTCGCGTGACACGGGTGCGCGAGAGAGATGCCATCTCCGGCTGTTGTTTGTCGACGCCTTTATTGTTCTGATACGAGTTCGATTAATTCCATTCGATTGGTTTTTGCTTAATTGGAATAGCTACCGTAAACGTTGACGAAGCGTACGAACAAGTTTTTTTTTTTTCTGTACTATCAAAGCACGATCGTGTGACATTGAAAGGTAACGATTGTCATTTGATTGCGGATGAGCGCTCAACTGTAGCATGGCTAGTGCGAGACGTAAGTGCAGATGGTGGCATAACTCATAGTGCGCAAGGAAATTTCATTATGTTTGATTGAAAGGATAAGTTATTCGATGTCGTTTTTGGGCCCAAAGCAAGTTTATATTTCCTGAATGAATCTTAGCGTTCGTATTTTTGGAATACAACGACTTTCACGCTTTTGATTTTTTGAAAATGAAAATATTTCTTTTGAGAAACCGTTCCGTAAATTACCGCGCGTTAATCATTTTGCGTCCAAAAAGTTATCACTCGCAATCAATATCGCGGCAAGGGAGAACCCATAAACACACATAAAAGCGCATAAATCAACACGTAACGACGTGAATGTAATTCGCTCGTAAAGGTAACCAGAGAGTGCGCGTGCGTGTGTGTAGCCGAGGAAAAATCAGCTAGGAAAAGCGGTCGACGTCAGATTCATCAGTATAATAGTTTCGGAGCGAGACAATCAGGTCATACGGCACGCGGCGACCGCGCAGGTGCCAAAGGAAGAAGGCGTTTCACTCCGGAAATCGCGTCGACGCATTTACATTTGAGACCGTGCATGCCCGGCAAGGATCCCTGTTTTCAGGTCCGTCTGCAGATTACGCGGACGATAACGCGTGTTACGGATAAAAAGAAACGAACGCCGATGCGTACTTGTGCGTGAAAAGAAGAAGGAAAAAAAAAAAAATAAGACAACGGAAAAGGATGCAAAGTGAAAAGGCTTCATGATCGCAAATGCTCCCCTTACTTTGAAAGTCCAACGCGAAACTGAAAGTCCCGTCATCTCTTCTTGACCGGAGGCCATTAACATTCCGTGGCATGAAACAAAATTTTTTTCATCTTGCGCTACGCTGTGCTCGAGCGATCGGCAGATTAGCATAAATTTTGGGAAAGAAGAAGCTTGCCTTGGGCGACGGCTCTCACTGCTGCTGTGTAACTAAGCTTTTCTTCGGGCGCGATTAGTCGGCTCGCGCTACAGCCAGATTTAATTGGGCGTGGGAGATGGCACGATGGCGGGCTGCTGCTTTCGATGTTTTTTATCGGGTAATTGCGCATTGTCAGTGTTATTTGTGCTTACTACGTGTCCATTGGATGATCGATGGAGCTTCTAATCTGATGCGTTTGCCAAGAGTGATTGGTTTTTGGCATTTAAGATTAATTCGTTTAAAAAAAAAATGATGGAAATAATTAAATTCAATTTTTTCTGAAATATATAACAGTGCGCGCAGAGACAAGCTACTGATTCGCATGAAGAAACGCGATCGCAGCGCATCATCTGTATTCAGGCCGCTTAATCAAAAAGATACACGGTATACCATATGAAGCTAACGTTTCAGCGAATCGTAATCGCGGATAAACCATTTCTCATTGCGAAACGAACAGCTTTTGTCCGGTTCGCCTCTGCCTTCGCGCGATTGGCATTGTTTATACTGCTGCATTGTTTATACGCGGCATCATTTCCAATTCTCGTTAATAATTGCGCAATCGCAATAAATTGTCAAGTTCAAGAGTCGCTAAAAAGAAGCTCCAGCTTCTCAGCGTTCTCACGTTTACGCGCGTGCCAAAATTACTCTTTCGACGTCGAGCGCAAGCATAATAATGACATAGTCTGGCTGCTTGGGGCTACCACTATACTACCGCCAAGCAGCCGGCGTCGATCGAAAAGAGGATTTTCGGGCAGCTGCCGCACTGGAAAATATGGTTCGTGTTTATCCGTTTGGCGCAGCTATTATCCGTAATCGTACGTTGCATTTTACACCAATGGATGAGTCTCGATGTGTAAATAATACGTCTGATGCGTCGACGTCGTCGTGTTCGACCCATCGGAAAGTCAAAACCGCAATATTATCCATTTTCTTTCTGGTCTATTTTAAGATTACGAGCTAATTACCCGATCGAATCGCGATCGATATAATTAGTGATGCAATTATACTCGTCGGACGTTATCAGTGATTTACAGCGCTGTTCGTTCTTTCATCCATTCGCATTTCAGATAAAACACGCGAGCATCGCGGTGAAAGCTTCGAAGCGAGCGATTAGAGAAAGGTATAACGAATGATAAAAATTGACCTCTCTCACGATCGTTCGTTTGATCCGCTGTATCGCAAGATACATCTTCTGTCTTTGCGACGCGTCATCGTCCACACACTGAATCACGTTTACAATCCATCAATATTTATAACTCCTCTATCACCAGGTGACTAACCGACAGGCGCTCTGGCGTTCTTATTTTTCTCCAAGGCAGCCCGACGAAAAAGACCAACTTTTCAGAACCAAGCGCGCTCATTATCGCGGCGGCTTTGTCGTGCGTAGATACGAAGCCGTAAAGACAACAAGAGACGGCGGAGATCGAAAATTATTAATTGCCCTGCTGCGCGCTGGCGTCCGTCGTTTTTCTTTTATTTTTTATTTATTTGAAAAAGTGCGCGCAAAGGCGACAGAGCTGCAAGCGAGTGTTTATTGCCGGAGCCGCTTATGTAAATCGCATTGTTCCGCTCGTCTTTCATAAAGTCGCCCGACTGGATCGCGCGTTTTGTGCGCTGTGCGCGCGCGAGGTGAAAAAAATGCGCGCATGTGCAAGGCCTTCTTGCGCATTGAAAAACTGCACTGGCTGGGGTGGGGAGGAAATCTTGTTGTTCTGGTTATTAGTTAATTGTATTTATGGACGCGGGCTTGTAAATAACCATTGTGCGAAGCTCTTTGCGCATAAAGATTTTCTCGCGCGAATGACTGGACAATCGCGCATTGTGAAAAAACAATTCGTAGAAAGCATACGGAAAAAAGCAGGAGAACTTTCGCGATAAATCCGTCGAGGCTTGAGTGTCAGGCGAATGGGCATCGATCGATCCTCTCAGCGGTGAATCGGCCATCACTCGCAATCGTCAAAAACACTCACGTGTGATCTAGGAACGGAAGCCGATCTGCCATTGATCCTCCGTCTTCGGAGTAGCCTCGCCCTTTCGCGATCTCTCCTCGTACAGCGTTCATCCTGCTGCCTGAGCAGCGAGCCGTTCCTGTCCTCCAACTCCTCGATCGACAAATCGTCGTTGAGCTCGAGGGGCCGCACGCGCAGTAAAACGCATCCCTCGTCGTCATCGACACTCGCAACTTCGGCGCACTTGGTCGCTGACGGATCGCTGATCTCGGATCTGGGCCGCCACTCGTCTTTCGGCCGATCGAACGACGCCGATCTACGCTTGTTGACCCTTCGCGCGATCAACCGCTCCGTTTTGCTCGCCGGCACCGTCACGCTACTGTGACTCCTCGGGCGATAACGCAGCGACACCGAATCGCTCGCCAGGATCGGCTTCGCCGGTGTCGTCGCCTCGTCGTCGACGAAGCCCGAATCGTTCCTCGAGTGTATCGCCGGCAGATCGGCGTCGCACGAGCGTCGCAGCACAACTTCTTCGGTCTCGTCCGCTTGGCAGTCGCTGCTGAAATTCACGATCGTGAAGTACTTCCTCGGAGCGCCGCCGCCGCAGGCCGCAGTCGCGTCGACGCCGTCGCAGGCTCTCTTGGCGAGTCGCAGCGCTCGGGTCGCCTCGACGATCGCCGGTAGGCCGTCGTAGCCGTCGTTGAAGTAATCCCGGCGCGTGCGCTTCGATGTCTCGTCGTCCAGTGCGCCTGCACGCGCGGCGGCACTTTGCCGTCGCTTCAGACGACTCGCCGCCGCCGCCGCGCCCTCGTCTATAAACATCTCGTCGGATGGCACGCCTCAAGTGTGCGCGAACACGCGTAACCTTTCCATGTCACTGTCACACGGGAATGCCACCGCTCGGAGCACACTGTCGTTTTCACGCTCGAACACTGGCCGACAGCGCGCCGACGCTGCAGCCTGCAATGTGCAGTCCACGAGCGCCGCTGGCCTACTGCCGGCCTTCAGGCCGGTTTACCGCCGCGCGCACCTAACTTTTTCTGCCCCCCCCCCCCCCCCCCTCCCAGTTACCCAACGCCACTCTCCCTCTCGCTCTCGCTGTATGCGCGCTGCTGCTACTATGCTAGCTCTTTTTGCACCCCTACTTCCCTGCAGCGATTTGCAGAGAAAATCACTATTCATTGTTTGTTGTTTCTGCTTCTTTTTTTCTTCTTTGGGGTGGTTGGGTGGCCTAAGGTTTCAGAGTTACATGCTGAGTTATTATTATCGTGAGTTTTTACGATGGAGATTTTTTTCAACGTTAATCTTGAGGAGCTTCAAGGCTGCCGTTTTGATAAATTTAACGTCTTCTAAATGTGATGGCCTTTTTACTTTTAATGCCTTGAATTTGAACGAGGAAGATATGGGTAACGTTTAACATCATCGATTTTCATTCTAGTCTTTCAATATTCAAAGGAAATACGAATTCGGCAAGAACATCGCATGGATTTTAAGGTGAACTGGTTGCAAAAACATGCTGGTTTATTTTAGTTTGTAATCGATTGAGACAATATAAGTGTTCAAATAGATGTGCAAGTACATTTAATTTTACGATTTCTTACAATGACCAACCTGATAAGATTATAGTTTTACGTGACGCAGCAGCAGACGCATTTTCTCGACACTTTTATCGCATGATTAGATTGGTCATTTGCTGACATAAGCTAGAAATATCCTGAAATGGTCGTAATAAAATTTGATTTGTAAAAAAAGTTCCATCTTTGCATTTAGCAGTTGGAAGAAATTCAATCCATTTGTCAAAAGTTACACATGTTGACCACTTTTTCAACGAATTAATTTTACAAAAACTCGTTAACTAATATAAAAGTTTTTTTTTAGCAATCGAATAAACATATTGAACAGAAAACTGATTTCGACAACTCGCCTGCAGTTCAGACATTGACAGCGTTAACACTCGAAATCAAAAGAGCCTGCTCAATCAAGCAATTCTCGGCAAACAGAATTACGAGTCACCGAGACAAAAACTCTGCCCTGCGCGCACAATTTCCCCGAGCCTTTTTTTTCTTTTGGTTGTACTTTCACTCTCTCTCTCTCTCTCTGACTGCAGTTGCATTGTTGTTGCGCGAATGTCCATCTGGTGCGGTCGCGCGCGCTCGCTCCACGTTACGTACTTGGTTTTTTTTCTTTTTTTATTTTCAAGAGCCCGCGTAGACTGATACTGCCGAGCAGCGAGCGAGTGCAGCGGTTGCAATGAAAAGGGTCGAGCGAGAAGTCGGCGGGGGAGTCGTCTCGCATTCAAAATCGTCGGCGATGCACGCTCTACGTCCGGTCGATCGCTCGTCTGCGCGCGCGAGCGTGTTTCGCAAACGCGCAGGCACCTCGAAGGTCTATCGCGTAAAAGACGCAGAAGGAGAGATCGCGCGCTGGCCGAAAATTCGTCGGCGAACTTTGCGACGACGTGGACGTCGCCGGGCGCACCGTGTCGAATGTTGAAAAGAGAATTATTTTTTCTCACGCGGGCGCGATCGAAAGAAACGTCCGTCCTCGGGATGTGCACGTGCGGCACGTGCTTTAATTGCGAGAAAACCACCCTTCGCCGTTGCAAGCGCGGAAGTATGCGCAAGACTCGTCAGAACACAAAAAGGAGAGTATATATACGTATCGAAGCTGCCGAGTACTTCTCTTATTTACTCGCAAACGCGCCGAAGGGAGAAAGAGAGAGAGAGAGAGAGAGAGAGAGAGAGAGTCGGCGCGCACGGCTGATTGTAATCGATAATGAAAATATCTCGCTCCCAGCTCGAAAGAATGTTGAGGAGGGGGAGTCTTTATTCTGCTTTCGATAGGGTTACACATATTTAAATCGCGGGATTTTTTATGCTTTCACCTTATGCAACGTTCATTGCTATTGGACGTTGAGCAGGCATGTTTTCGCAGATGTCGTTAGCTTAATTGGCATTCGCATCGACAGGTGCGTTTGTTCAAATAGCGGCACAAACAAAATGAATTGAAATTGGGAAGGCCGTTGGCAAATGAAGTTTTTCTTTTGTTCTGATTTCCGAGGGATTACTTCTCGATTATTTTCACAGTGTATCGCGAGGTGCGTGTACCAACAGCAATTTACAAATAACTCGCCTCGAAAGTCGTCTATAAAAACCAAAGAAATCAGCAATACGCAGTTCTAACACTGCGTAATTACCAGCCATATAGGTATCAATGTTCAATCATGGTATATAATACCATAGCAACGTTGAAAACTCAGCTCTCGCATCTCCGCGTGAGAACTCGGCATCGGACGAAAAAAAACAAAGCAGAAGCCAAGCGCAGTTTCTCGGCAATGCGGAAAACTGAAAATAAGGCATCATAAGGTAGGCCGAGAACTCTTTACGACCTGACGTAAGATCGGAAGGGGGCTTCTGTGTTATTGTTGCGATTCTCTTTCAGCCGGCTAATTAATGCTCGACTGAGTTTTAATTATGCCGGACCCGTAATTGATATTTTCGCGTGCGTAACTCGACTTTACCGAAAATTCGCACGTGCGAGTTCCTTGGAAATGTCGATGCTCCGAATAATACACGTACATTCTCGGCAAAGAAACGAGAAGCGCGCGGTCGTAACTCGCCTGAGAGTCGAGCCGCGGAAGTCAATAGTTGGCGGTGGCAGTACGTGCATTATTGCGGTCTTTTTGAAAACGGCCAGCGCCGTTTATCGACGCGGCGCGCTCCAGAGTGCACGCGGCCTTCGGCAGAGGAGGCCGGATAATAATGACGCCACGTCGATGAAGCGGGCAAATCGCGGTTGATAAATCACGCGATCGCGCGCCGAAGGGGTGCATCCAGCGGATTGCTCGCGGGCGCGAGCGACCTTGGGGCTACCGCTGCAATTGGCCACGGGGAAAAGAATCGCGCGTGCACGTGGGAAGCCGACGGACAGGCGCGTCGGCGCGCGCTTTCATCTCGGCCGATTCGCGTAATTAATGGTAACGCGGAGAGAAGGCTGTGCGTTCGTTGCGAAAGCGTTGGACCGCGCGGGCTGGCGACGTCGGTATTGTTGGGCCGACCTGTTTGGGAAGATCGCGTTCGCCGGCGAAAAGTATAATGGACGCGCGACAGTTACGCGACGCGCGTGCTAAGTGACCGAGCGCTCGCGCCCAACCTGAAATCACGCGGATTCCTCGTCAATGAGCGGCGCGCGCGGAGAATAAATTTACGGTATTACGCGCGAAAATCCAGCGGGGAGGTGCAGCTATACTTTCGAGCGCCAAGCGCCAAGCGCGTAAGCGCGTAAGCGCGGAGGCGGCGCTCGAGAGAGCGAGAAAGATTATTGTCATGGGCCCCGCGTATGTGTGACGCCAGGTCGAATGGAATCCGGGAGTGTTTCTCCGAGGTTAACGGATCCCAATCCGAATTAAATCCAGTGCCTTCGGCCGCCTCTTCTCCTCTCTTGCTTCTTTTTAGGCGAGGACGCGACCACGCGACGGCGAGCTTGCGGGAGGTTTTTCAGTGCCGCGCCTTTCTTCTAACCGGATCTTCTACTAATATTAAAGCACGCGTTGCGGAGAGTCGCTCGGATAAAGTGTGCATCCGCGTAAATACCGATTGCGGCTTCAGTTTGCCTCTTTGCCGTGGCCTGGCCTCCGTTACTTTTCGCTTCGAGATGAACGTGAAATTTTTCGTCCATCGTCATTTCGTAAAACTAATTATTTCAACTTCCATTCTCGGACCTATACCGCTGTTGTATTGCAATTGTTGACTAAGTCCGAGGAAGCCAGCGTACAAAAGCCAGGCTGAATAACAGACCTGGCAAAGAAAAATAGGTTAGAACGCGAATAAGAGGCAAATGCACAGTCTTGAAAACGATCTTCAGACGACCGCTAGACCGTAGAAAAAGCTACGACGACCTACGAGCAAGTCGTTGAATCTACAACATAATAAACATCTCTCATAAATCTCGCGAGTCCTTAACGCGCAGCTTTCCACGACTAAAAACTGTAATAATGAGAGCCGTGCGACCGTTACGGATTTTTTAAGCGCGCGCGCGACACCTGCTCCCCATTGCAATTTCCAATCAGTCAGCACGTGTAAACGTCCGCTAACGAGCTCGATTTATCGATGCCATCAACGCGCTCATTGTCGATATCGCGACAGAAAGGCCGCGTATCAAGAGATTCAACTTTCAAGTGCAAATCCAGACGGCGATTTGAATTTTTAAACGCGCGCCGCTCGACAAGATTAGCTGCAAACTTTCATAACTTCCATGTTCAAACCGCTTGCTTAAGATTCACGACGAGCTCGTCAACTCCATACGCACGGAGTCCCAACGATTTTCCACCGAAGACCACCGTGTATGCAAATTGTCAACGAAAAAACAAAATCATCATCTCCATCCTTTCACCGCGTCTAATTTCCAATCCGAAAAGCCGTCTTTGCAAAACAAATCGTTCGACGCGCAGCGGTGCGTGGGTGCGCGCAACGAGGTTAACAAGAAAAAAAACTAAGAGAGAGAGAGAGAGAGAGTGTGTGTGTGTGTGCGAGTAAAGTGGCACATCGCGGCGATGTGACAAACGGAACGCATACCTGAAATCGTCGACCTTGTGGAGGACAATGAGACGATTTTCCTCCAACGACTTTTCACTTTGCCGAAGCTCGATTTACATCTGCCCGTCCGCCGTGCAACTCGGTTGCATTTACCATTCTTCGACGTTCGCTTCAAAATATTCATACTCGAGAATTCGGAAGGTCATTAACGCGAATGGAAATCGATCCCGCGATCTGCGCAGCAAGGCGGTGGGCACGTCGAGGCGCCGTTCAAAAACGCGATGCTCGACCGACGTCCGTTTGTTCGCGCAATCTGTACGAGCATTGGTAAGAAAAGTCTCCAAACACTCTCGGTGAAATAAGAGTCTCGTTAAAGCTGGCCGTCGGCATGAAAATTGCGTCACCCGCGTACTTATGCAGCAGAGTAAGTAAACGCACGCGTGAGAAG